CGCGGGGGGCGGGGTGTGGCGGGGGGCGCGGCGGCGGCGGGGGGGGGGGGGGGGGGGGCTGGGGGGGGGGGGGGGGGGGGGGGGGGGGGAGAACCCAGACTCGGTCGGCTCGTTTATCCGCGCGGTTTCGTCGTTTTGCGGCCGAAATGTAGAAGCTGCGAAACCTCTGCTGGCGGACCTCTTCGCATATAATATCCGAGGACACGCACACATATTATTTCCCGGCTCGGTTACAAGTACGAGCCAGTGTCGGAGCAACCGGATCGTTTTTCCACGTTGCACGACCTCTCCGTAAACGATCGAGTCGACAGTGAAAGTAATTAATCGCTACGCGCGAATAACTTTGCTCGTACTTTATCCTTCTTTAAATATTCCGCTTACAGTTTACATTTCCCATATATATTTTCATATCGACGATATTACGAATCGACGACTAGGTTGGGTTATCGACGGTAGATACTCGCACGACCGAAGCAAATTTCGCCTGTTTCACGCGAATATTAAATTATGCGAAGGAAGATTAGCTTTTTTTCAAGAAAGTGAAAACTAAAAATGCCAGCTTCGTGGAAGATATGGGATTGTCGGCAGTGGAAAATTACAGAGAAAGAGAAAGAGAAGGAGATGAATGATCGTGCGGAGGCGTGTCGAGTGTCACTTGGAATTCACGAAACTTTCGACGAGCAGTATGCGTAGGGTTTTCGATCGTACGTGGGTGTCGCTGATGCTGTCATCCGCAAGGACGAGCCTGCCGTTTTCCACAGCGACAAATCGAATCGGCGTGTGCAAGCAGCCGTGTCGAGGTCGAGTATGCCAATTATACGGATTTCTACCTATACTTTGCCGTTCTTCTAGCCTCTACGCCTATAACTATATGAAAGTCTATCGATTCGTCGTATAGATCTACGCTATAATCCATCACCATGGTGTACCACGTCGTACAAGGTCGAACAAAATCGAACAAAATCGAACAAAATCGAACAAAATCGAACAAAATCGAACAAAATCGAACAAAATCGAACAAAATCGGACAAAATCGAACAAAATCGAACACAGTCGAACAAAATCGAACAAATGGGCGAAAAAACTACGGAGAAACCACTAATGGCGTTACCACAGTTGAAAATGGGAAACGCGTAACGTATCACGAAACTGTTGCGTGTATATAGGAAGCGTAACAGGTAGTTACTCGTACCTTGTCTAGCTGGTCGTTGGCAGCGTGCAAGGATGCGATTGTGTAGCACTCGCGAGGCTCCCGGAGCGAACGGTACGCTCCTGAATTCGAGAGTTTGCACGCGCAGGTAAATATCGTGCAACACGATCGCGCGGACACGACTGAACTCACTTTCCAGAGGCAGCGTTTTACCTGCGACAGGGGAGACCTCTTAACACAGCCAGTTCCACAGAGAGGTTACCCTCACTCTTTCTTACTCTTAGCCTTTGCGTGTACCTGCACATGTAGAAACGTGTGGATGCGATAGCTACGAGCGAGAGTGTGTTGGTCGCCTTCTTACGGCTATCCTTCTTACGGCTATCCTCCTTACCTACCCAACCACCCACCTATTTACGCCTGCGAGTGCGTGGCCTTATGTCGCGCTGCAAGACCTCGCAGAAGCTACGTACTTTTGCTCTTACTTCTCGGCACTTGCTCTTTCAGGCTCTGATGCCGATATAGTGTATCGAACTTTGCGTTCGATACACTATATCGATCATACGGTACATACTTTTTCACCTAAATTGCATCGAAGAGGCAATCTTGTCATTTTTGATTAACATTGACGATTGAAATTTTGTCAGTTTCGTCCTCTATGCTGATCAAAGATAAAAAGCAACGGTTACTTTGAATATTTTAAAGTTATCTTTTCGTACACGACTATTTTTTCTTTTTTCTTTTTTTTTTTTTTGCCATTTTCAATTGTTAGATATCATCACCGCTCCAAAGTATGTATTCGGCTTGTGACAAAAAATAATAAATGTAGGTGTAAACACCGTGGTCGAGGCTACGGACAAGATGTTTCACCAGTTTGTTCTGTATTTATAATCATATTCTGCTTGCCATTCTGGCTCCATCGTTTATCGAGTTACCACTATCAGTATCAGAGTTAACAGTGTCAGCGTTGATTGGAATAAAGTATCTCATGTTACGTAGAATGTGTTTTCTAATTATACAGTGCGTAAAACGAAGTTGTACGAATTTCACAGTGCTGTTGAAAATCGCAAAAGAAGCCGTATTCAAATATTATAGAAGAAAATGCAAAGATGAGCGTATAGAAAAATTCTTGGTTTGAACGATCGCGCCTTTCCATTCGAAATGTTCGCCGCGTTATTGGATATCACTTGCTGCTCGGACCATGACAAGTTCCTTTATCGTAGAAAATGAATCGAATACATCGAATGTATCGTGAGAAGTCGTTACGTCAACTTTACCGAGAGTTATTTGTTTCGTAAATGGAGCAAAGTCCAGCTCAAATCGGGAGAACAAAGTAATAATTGGAATGGACGAAGAAAACACGAGTATAATAATAAAGGACGAATAATCTTGTTGGACAAAACGTTTATTCATCCACGTAATCGTGGACAGCTCGTCTGAAACATTACTCCGCGTGATTAACAAATGGATTAATAAATCAGGTTTCATAAATATATCGAATCAGTGGAAATGATATAATCGTCTGTTATAAACGTTTAACCGTGAATCAGAAAACGAACTTCATCGATCCAGATAGTAGGGCACATAGCTAACGTATCGATAGTTGTTGGCACGAAACTAGAGCTAATATTTTAGGATACGGAAATGGAAATTTTTCCAATTTTTATCAATAGCGACTGAGAATAACATATATTTTCTGCCGCTTTGCCGTCACTTGTTTCGCAGCTGTTGCCGCTCACCGCTCGCCGCTCTCTGTATAATCACGGCCTTACGCACGAATAACAAGTGCGCAGAGTTCGATGACTTCGACATGAAGATTCAAAGTATCCTTCGAACGTTTGCGGATACACTCAGTTCTTTCAGTTTTTTCTTCGCATTTTAGATCAGTCTCGTAACTCTCTGTATCCGGTTTTGCCATACGTCCGTAAATGGCAAGCCCAAGACCATCTTCGACACCCACACCCAAACTTTTCTCTTCTTCCCTTTTTTAGCACTTTTCTCTCTCTTTTTTCTTTTTTTCTTCTTTTTTTCTTCTCCAGAGGGGAAGAAACAAGAGATCGAACATTTTCGTTAATAAACGATCGTTGTTACTTAACACGTATACAAAGGCTGACGAAACAGCTTGTTCGAACATTTACCGTTAGCGAGTAAAATCTCAAATGTAAATTGAGAAACGTACGTAGAAAACATTGACGATATTACAAACATATACTTGTCAAAAGAAGTAGCGTACGCCGTAAATAGTTTGCACGTGGAGGGAAACACGTTGAAGGAAAACAACGCCAGGAGGTTCGAAATCAAAGATTACTTTACTATCATATTTAGGGAATACGATTTTATTTTTAATCTTACGATTTTATTATCTAAAAAGGGAGATGAAACAGTTTATGCGAATCGTCGTGTTCTTCTGGTCGTATATCGTACAAATAGTATAATTTTATCGTACGATTATGATCGTACGATTAGTTTTATAGTGAATTTTTGTAAACGTCAAAATTGATGTTTCTTGAAAATTTGACAATGTTTTATATAATACATAAGAACATGAACAGTGTTTATAAATGTCGAAACGTCTTCGTAACCACTGTATATTCGAACGTATTCGAGGTATATCAAGGTATTAAAGTATCGATATCTATGAATAATCTATGTTATCAGCCGAATGTCCCGATCTTCACGGTTTTCACGGTTTTCACGGTTTTCTCATAGCCATCGTTACCTTCTTTTGTACATCTGCTTTTAGCACCGTTGCATAGTGAACGCAGCGTGCGATAAGACAAGTAGTTTAGCGTATGTTACATGAAATTTTCCATCTGAAAAATTCAAAAGTGTATAAAGAATCGATCGTTTCGAAAATCCTACCTTATAATTCGCGTCTAAAAACTTTTTGCCGCTTTGTCGTACTATTCGTTGGAGAGAATAGCTCGCGATTAAACAGTTTATCCAACACTTTCGGTTTGTCGTCTTGCCCGGTTCCTACCACTTTTACATGGTTCTTTGAAAAACTCCCTATTAGTCCTGATATGGCCTCGTACTAGCTTTCGTACGAACCATCCGCTCCAGCTACCTTACAGATAGCTCGTTTCAAACGCGTAATCTATGCGCGCTCGATCCGTTCACTTTCGACGTCAAGTCCGTCGACGATACGAACTTGAAACGTAACGAGTTACTCGAAGCATTCTATCGTACACACGCGGCGTTCGTCGCTAGGCCCGGAGAGAAAGCCCGAGAGCAAGGAAAAGGAGAAAAGATAAGAAGAGAAAGATGGAACGGCAGCGATTACCATACCAGCGTTGCATAGGAGAAAATGACAGTGGAATGAAATTGTGGCACGAAGGACCACCCGAACATGCAGAGTGAACAGTGAATATGCGTGGGCAAGCGATGTAAAGGATCCTTTAAATGCCAATGCTCTCGATCAGATTGCATAGAAGAAACGCGAGTTTACCTCTACCTCCTTCTTCACAGCCGCCATGTTTCGCGGCTGTTGCACGCGACTGATGGACCGGTTGCTTGAGTCCTCCTGCTCGCACTCCTCGATATGGCCAGCTATGTATAGCAGGTCATTCTGATCTTCTCTTCGATCTGCCGTCTGTACAGGGTGCGTCAAAATTCTACGCCTTGGTGTGCTGCAGATCGATGTAAACAGTTGCCGCGAAATTGACCCCGACCTTGAAACTTCGGATCGAAAAGTCAAATTTCTTCTGATTCTATCGTGTTCGACTGTGGTCTTTGTAAACGTAATTCCGATCGATGCGGTAACTTTGTAATCGAACTTTACTAAACATCGTTTTCGTTTTTTTTTTTTTCATTTTCTTTTGCCAACAGAAGGATCGATAGAACACGACGCGAGTAAACAAACTTGGCCTTCTGGTCTCGAATTTCAAGGTCAAGTCGATCTCGCTATAATCTTTCTAGGTCGATCTTTGTCAAACCGAACGTGTAGAATCACGCCGTAGCGGTCCTGACACTTTCTTTCTCAACGCTCTCTACACGTATATCGCATATATGTACGTACAGTTTTCAAGTTTTAGTTTAAATCGTTGGAATTTCAAATTATTTAAACGCGCGTGTAGTATTTCAGATATTTTCTAAACTTTGTTTCACATTCATCACGGTGTTCTTATTTTATTCCTTTCATTCGTTTGCTTTATTGTAATTTCGAAATTTCGAATATCTGCGAGTTCATGATTTGTACTAGAAATTTTCAACGAACGCAGTATTTAGTTTCGTTGCTTTTTGCTTTTTCCTTTTTACTTTTTGCTTTTTGGTAGACTTGGCCTAATTAAAAGAGGAAATGGAAACGTTTATTGCTAGACACAACGAAGATGCAGAAAATTCAACAGGTCTTGGTAAATATCATTTCCTCCCGCATAGCATGATAAACTATAATATATTTATTAAATTACTTTCTAAAGGAAAATACATTTGCTTCAAGAGTTGCCGTTAAAAGTTATTCTCGCGGATTCGCTTTACAATAACACAGTCTTTGTGGAAGAAAAGTGATTCAGTGATTCTCCTTGTTGATCCTGTATCCCTACTGACGTATTAGATCGTTGCATATAAAATGGCCCATTTAAAATATATCGTTAAATAGCAATAAATATTTAACGCATTATCGAATAGTAGTAAATAATACTTTTTATTACGCGTGAAAATTTAACACTTAAAACCAACCAAATACAAGATCGACGCTTTAATTCTCTCTTCGATGCTTTTACATTATTTCATTACAAAATGAACAATTATGAAACGGGTATGAAAGAAGTTCATGGATTATAATCATTTGAGCAATACTCTAATACGAACTTGGAGGTCGCATCGCCGTAGAAGCTATTCATATACATCATATACATCATATACATCATATACAATACATCATATACATCATATATATAAAGTTGGCATCGCGAATGTAAGCTGATAATTTGAGAAATATAGGTTGGAAAATATGAATAGCAAAGATAAATCACCCGACCGATTAAAAGAAGTTATTGACAACAAAAAAAAAAAAAAAAAAAAAAAAAGAAAAAAAAAA